ACATAAAGTACTTCTGCTATACACCAAATATAATTGTTGTCTTGAGGAAAAGCATGTGTCCGGTTGCTTAAGTTGCTAGCTGAACTAGCCACTTTCATCATGGAACATCATTTTTATTTGAAAGACTAAGTTACAGGTAACTATGGTTATTCAGACTGGGCAGACATTTTCTTACAATGTTCCACAGTTTCTTGAAAATGAACCAAGTAAGACTTTCACTTCAAGGAAAACAACTAAAAGTAATTTGTTGCTAGTGCTCAGTGGGGAGTCCACTACTCCCTCTCCCTATGCCCCTCCCCCTGCTCACAGTGTCTCTCTCAAATAAATAAAAAATCCTTAAAAGAAAAATAAAGTTCAAGAAGGATTAATGGAAGGGCGCCTGGGTGGCTCAGTCATTTAAGCATCTGCCTTCAGCTCAGGTCATGATCCCAGGGTCCTGGGATGGAGCCCCATGTCAGGCTCCCTGCTCAGCAGGGGTCTGCTTCTCCCTCTCCCTCTGCTGCTCCCCCTGCTTGTGCTCTCTTGTTCATGCTCTCTCTCTCAAATAAATAAATACAATCTTTTAAAAAAAAGGATTAGTGGATTTTAATATAATAGTATGTCCAAAAATACACTGATACTGTCTCAGATTCTTGTAACTAACAGTTTAAAATCTACTTCTTGGGGCGCCTGGGTGGCTCAGTCAGTTAAGCGTCTGCCTTCAGCTCAGGTCATGATCCCAGAGTCCCAGGACAGAGCCCTACAGCTGGCTCCCTGCTCAGTGGGGAGTCTGCTTCTCCCTTGCCCTCTGCCCCTCCCCCTGCTCCTTCTCTCTTTGTCTCTCTCTCACTCTCTCTCATCTCAAATTAATTAATTAATTAATTAATTTAAAAAAAACTTTGGAAATAAAATCTACTTGTCAAATTTTTTTTTTAAAAAATTTAAATAGACTTTTTTAGAATAGTTTTAGATTTACAGAAAAATTGAAAAGATAGTACAGAGTTTTCACACACTTCCAAATCCAGTTTCCCCTATTATTAACATCTTACATTAGCATGGCACATTTGTTACAATTAATGAACCAATACTGATATACTATTAACTGAAGTCCATATTTTGTTCAGATTTCCTTACTTTTTACTTAAGGTTCTTTTTCTGTTCCAGGATCCCATCGAGGATACCATATGACCTTTTAGTCATCATGGCTCTTAGGCTCCCCTCTGCTGTGACAGTTTCTCATACTTTCCTTATTTCTGATGATCTTGACAGTTTTGAAGAGTACTGGCTAGTTATTTCGTAGAATGTCCCTCAACTAGAATTTGCCTATTTTTCTCATGATTAGAGTGGAATTATGGGTAATGGGAGAAAGACCACAGAGGTCAAGTGCTATTTTCATCACATCATATCAAGGGCATAAACTATCAACATGAATCATTGCTGTTGATGTTAATGTTGATCACACTTGCCTGAGGTAGTGTTTGTCAGGTTTCTCTAATATAAAGTTACTCTTTTCCCCCTTTCCATACTGTGCTTTTTGGAAGTTCTTATTGAATTTTCATGTAGCATCAAAAAGGAGCATCCACAATTATCTGATAAGGCTATTAAAATATTTTTCCCATTTCCAACTACATATCTGTATGAGACCAGATTTTCCTATATACTCCAACCAAAACAACGTATCATAATAGATTGAATGTAGAAGCAGATATGAGGATGTCCCTATCTCCTGTTAAGCCAGATATTAAAGAGCTTTGCAAAAAATATAATATATTGTCACTCTTCTTACTAAATTACTTTCACTTTGGAATATATTTTTCATAAAAGCGATATTTATGCTAATTTGATGGGCTGAATATAATGGGTTTATCGCTGTTATTTTAAATCAATTATAAATACTTTAAAATTTTCTCAGTTTTAATTTCTAATACATAGAATAAATATTAAGAGAGACAACCCATATAAACAAAAGCTCTTGGGGTTCCTCAATTTTTAAGAGTGTAAAGGGGTCCTGAAACCAAATAGTTTGAGAACCACTTGCTTTAGGGTTAAGCTTTTTTAGACCAAAAATGAAAGAACCTGTTCAAAGAAGTGAGCCAAAACTGAATTCTAAAGGCTTGATGAGTAAACTGACTATACCTAAATTTTCCTTATTGAAAAATGTAATTTTTACACCTGCAGAAAATTGTTTCCTCAACTGATAACTGTGCTCACGAGTAACTATTTGCAAGAGTAGTTTGTTATTTGTGTCTTAAAAATAATGACAGGTAGGCAGGTGTGTTTGTAAAAAGTCTAAGCAGAGAAATATATCAGTTGATGCATATGCATGGGTATACACATGTTCATGGTTAACTTCTTGTTTATTAGCTTTTTTCTTCTTTGGTTTTTAGTATTCAAGGAATGGAGATCCATCAGATATGTGTTTTGGCCTTCATCTATCTATTAATCGATTATATCAAATTAGTTTATATGTGGTTAGACTTACAACTGTACCTAACAGTTGTAAGATACTTGTAACAGTATCTTTTGGGGAATTGTTAAAAAACATTTCACTTCTCTATTTTATGCTTTATTTCATTTCATGTATTCCAAATGAAACCACCGGATGGGAACTACTTCTCGTTTGTGTCCCGTGCTTGGTACACTCTCAGTAAATACTAAAGGATGAATAGCTTTTATCTCTACTACTTGGCAAGAGTCAAGGCTGATGGTGTTGGATGCCAACAGTGGTGATTAGCATCAGGGAATAAGGGCATTAATCACCAGAACTGAGGCAGCCCAGGAATCTCCCTGGCCTTTTACCTTCCCAGCAGCAAAACCATTCCTGCAGCACTGCTGATCTGTGTGTGCCATTTCCCAAATATGCTGAGCTCGGGCAATACCATGTTCAAATAAGCAGGCAGCCAGCCTGGCTAAAGCATAGGGGACAGGTATGGCAGAAGTGAGATTACAAAGAGCTTAGTAGAGAATGGGTCAGATCCTCATAAGGAGGATGTGAATCCAATGTCAAAAATTATCCTTAAATCTTTTTGTCCTCTCTTTCCATCCTCACATTCCTCATCAACCCTTAAGTTAAACATTCATAATCTTGGTGTTGAAAGACATCTTGAAAGTTATCTTATCTACCTGTTCAACCAATCCTGAATCCTCCCTACAAACTCTAGTCCTTTAGCTGCCTTGCAATGTCAATTTGTAGGATGCAGCTAGAATGTGTGAGAAGGGGGCACCTGGGTGGCTCAGTCATTAAGCATCTGCCTTCAGCTCAGGTCATGATCCCAGGGTCCTGGGATCGAGCCCCGCACTGGGCTTGCTGCTCAGCAGGAAGCCTGCTTCTTCCTCTCCCACTCCCCCTGCTTGTGTTCCCTCTCTTGCTGTCTCTCTCTCTCTGTCAAATAAATAAATAAAATCTTAAAAAAAAAAAAAAAGAATGTGTGAGAAGGAATTTAGGACACATGCCATTAAATGTAAAATTTCAACACACATACCTGGACCTAGCCTGTTTCACATGGGCCCCGAGAATTATATAAAAAGGGTGGAATAAAATCTTGTGATTGACTTATACCATAATTTGATTTAAAAAGATAAGATATACATTAGTAACCTTTTACCTGAATTTATTTAATTGTTCTGAAACTTTGTAAATAAAGGAAAAAGAATTCTCTGCAACAACCTTCTTCCCCACCTCCTCCCCAGAGTAGACTATGAAGATTTGGGCCTTTTCCTGGCACTAAGTGTCTCCTGAAATAACACATAAAAAATATAAATACGCAGTGTCTGCTCCAAGAGACCATCTTTGCCCAAGATACAACAGGTCTGTCCTTCCCCTTTTCTCACTAGGTCCCCTTCTGTAGAAGAAAGAGGAGCTTCATCTTTTCAATATACAAGATTTTTCTCAAGTTTATTTCTCTAGCAGAGTAAGTAAATCTTAAATGTAAGCCTTAAGAGAATTTTGTCTAGAGATAATAGGTTATTAGGACCTTGACGAAACTGACCCCATAGAAATGTGAAGGGTCCATATGACCTAGGATGACTTTCCATACCACCAGGGATGATATTTTCGCCCTGTCAGAGGATCTTACTTGATCTTAAACCTTATCGATTTGAAGTGCTTTATTTCTCTAATAATAATTGCATATTAGATTCATCTCTCTGGTTTAAAAATTACAAATTTACACTGGTTAAAGATAAATAAGTCATTAGCTTTTGAGAAAAGTACTCACAAAATGGCTGGCAGCTACAAAGACTCTCTCTTCTTCCCCCTCACTGAAAAACAATTCTTTTTTAGTTATCTTAAAACTTGAGATAAGTCAGAGACCACTTACAGGACAATTGAGAAATTACGCTTAAAGTTATGTATAATTTGGATTTGTTTTTCTCAAGATTTACAGTCAATAAATGTATTGAATATCCACTGAGTAGAGCTTTTAAAAAAGACAGAATTCATATCAATAATGAATTTGCAATCAAGGTCTTTCTCATTTATATGAATGTGCGCATTACATACATTTTTTCCTCTGTTGAATATATTATTATATAATATAGATGTCACAGTTATAGGAATTCACTTTCTTTGTCGCCCAAACAGATCAGAAATGGCAATCACAGGTGGGCACTGAGAACGAGGGCTAGAAATTCTCTCATGTCATACTTCCTTGGATCATGGTAGTATTACTTCATCTTCCTTGCCCCAATACTAACCTCACCACAATTAAAAAAAACATAATTCTCTTATGTTTGACTTTCACAAAACATCCCTGAAACTGGTTTCTGTTTGCTTCCAGCAACAGTTGATACTTCTCTCCGTATTTCCAATTTTGCTTTAGCATCCTTCTAAGTGCAAATTTTGAGCCAACGTCTATTAAAGGCACATGACATAGACAGATGAGTATTTCCCTTCATGAGACTGTTAAATCAGTTCCGACTCCAGGAACAGTATTTTAAAATGTGAACCAGGCAGAGAGGAAAATTTGAGGTATTTTAACAAGTGAAAAGGCCAATGAGTCTGGATGTGTCTGGATACTTACTCTCTCACACAGCTCTTCAAATGTGCAGTCGGCGACAGTTCCACACGCTTTATGCAGCCGCAGCTCTCTGCCTTGCACTTTTAGAATCCTTGGTCTAGTTACTATGGGAACATGAACAAAGACTCAATCTTGTCTGGATAATTACTATAAAATTCATCTCTTACAGATAGGAAATGCATAGCTTGATGAATAATAGCACATGATTCAACACATAAATTAGACAAAATGCTGATACAATGACTGCCACTTGAGCGTGGCATCAACCCATATACAGCAATGGAACTTATTAATTGGTCAGTGGAGATTGGGCATTGTGTTCTAAATGTATTCTCTTTCAAGAGAAATTAACTTACGTACAATCATTTTGTTTCTGAGCCAGCTCATCAAACAACTTATCCATGACAGCCTCCACATCAGCTTCACTTGTGCTACAGTGAAAAGAATAATAGAATATGAAATTAATAACACTTGAAGCCAACATCAAACAGCTGCCTGAGCCTGCTTAGCTTTTTGCCCACAAAAAAAGAGAACAGGATGTTATGCTCTAAATACAAACATTAGATTTAGAATACACTTAAAAGCAGAGAATATTAACTCTCAGGTAGATGATTCTGCCTTATTTGCATACACTGAAAGACTTCTGTGCTTCTGGCTGTTTCCAGTAATGAGACGATACAGGCAGAGTAAATCCATTAATACTATGTGTACACAATGAGAAGAAAGGCTTCTGGCTCTCTCTTGCATGCAAAACAAGAGCAAATAGACAAGGCAGTCAAGCATCCAGCAAAGTATCCTTTGAAATCTCTACTGAGAGGGTACATGTGAAATTAAATATTGAAGCTGCTTCAAAAAAAAAAAATCAAGTCAAGCCACTGACTGAGAGGATCAAACATCCAGAATTAAATTACCAGCTTCGAAATACCAACTTGATCTGCACATCAATAACTTTATCGGACTTCGAATATAAGTACAATTATAGACGACACAGTTTCTCTCAAAAATGTCCTTGTCAGAAATTCAAGAAAACTCTCCTTCTGTGATGCCTACCATTGCAGGTCCTACAGAAGTTAGTCTCATCAAAGAATCCTTTGTATTCTAATTACAAATCGCCATATGGTTTAGGGAATCCACATACACAAATGTGATATCACTATGCCCTTTCTTCCTGTCACTTTTTTTAAAGAGGGGTTTGTAAATTAACTGTCAATAAAATAAAATAACCGGCAGAAGAAATAAATGCTGTTAAAAAAAAAAAACTTCAAGTATAAATGTAAGTTTACTTCAACTCTACATACAAACCTACACAGGATGACCTGCCGATATGCTTAATTTTGCTTATCTAGGTGTGGAAGCAATTAAACTCAATTCTGGACATTCATCTTAATAAAGTCTTTTTGAAAACTAATATGACAAATTATTTTTTAAGTTTAAACAAAACCAAACTCATTTCTCCCTTGAGATAATTACCAGGTGGCAGGCATTTAACACACAAGCACCTAATTCTTCACCTGTTGTACAGCAAATGCTTTTAAAATGCAGGACAGCACACGGTCATTATGAAGGGTTTGGAATTGTACCCTCCAAGTGATAACCATTCCACCTCAAAGGATCTTAAAAACATCATCTGCAATGGTTAACTTTGCAGGGGAAATGCTATTTTACTTAAGTAAAGGCTTTATGACATTTGAATAGGGCAGTATTACAATAATAAAATGACACTACAGAAAGGGATTATAGAGACAAAAAACAATTTTAAAGGTACAAAGAAATCGCACAAGCCAATATAAATGTCAGTGTCCACACCAAGCACATGTATGTTTATATGGCTTTGCCAACATTATTCTTGGGAATTCATTTGGAATTGTCCCCACCTTGTAATAGTGGCATAAACACACTCAACTATTGGAAAAGAAGCGAAGGTACTTTTTAAGGGCTATAAAACAGAAGGAGCAAAACCAGCCACCCAGGGTTTCTGCTGGCTTGCAGAAAGTTAACTTCTTCTTAGGATAGGCATGTTACCCAACAGAGGGGGAGAAATGAATTCTGAAAAATAACCAAGACAGTCACATTTCTAGGAGCATATTTAGTGAATAAACAATTGCTTACAAATTTCCTCAGTAGTGATTTCTCGTTTACTCAGTGCTCTAATACACTATAATATTAAAATGTGGCTCACAAGACTTCAGTCAGGCCACATCTTCTGCATCATCAATGAAATTACTATATATGATTTACTTATAGTGAAATTATATGTGAAATGGCATAATTATTTTATTATACCAGTATCTTATAAAAAATTCTATATGGGGCACCAGGGTGGCTCAGTCGGTTAAGTGTCTGATTCTTGCCTTTGGCTCAGGTCATGATCTCAGGGTCGTGAGACTGAGCCCTGTGTGGAGCTCTACGCTGAGCATGGAGACTGCTTAAGATTCTCTTTCTCTCTCCCTCTGCCCCTCCACCCCCATCCCTACTTGCGCATGCACGCTCTCTTTCAAAAATAGGTAGATAGATAAAATTTTATTAAATTATCGTAAAAAATTACTCAGAAGTTACAACATGCAAAATAAAAATTTTTACTGGTGTTAAGTGGCCTAAAAATAAATATTCACAAAAGTAGTTCATGTAACTTAAAATTGAACAGCCTGTTATCCATCTAAGCCAAATTGTACTTGACCTCGGGGAGTGAGTTCTATTGACCAGTTGAAGGGCAGAAACCTCAGCTTCATATTGTTTTAAAAGCAGGAGGGGCTAGTATGGGTTTTGGTTTTATTAGATATATCTCTGTATTGACATGAAATAAATGAGGATGCTGTGGAAGAAATCCTTACCAGAAATGAACTTATTCATAATCCCTTAACATAATTTACAAGAAAACACTAGTCTTCTCACACTCCACTCAGACCAGATTTCCCCTACTTAAAAGGATGCATCAATCAGAGCTCATTAACTTTTTTGAAGGATGAGAATTAGGAAAGTAAAAAGAGAAATTAAAACTTACCTGTCCATATTAGCTTAAAAGATTCAGAGTTTTACTCATTATCCAGGTTCATATCTGGTTTATACATCTTTGAATATGTTTTGTAATTCTAGTAAAAACTTTAGATGGCTCTGAACTATTTCAATGTGTCACACAGAGAATAACAAAGGCTGTATTTATCAAGCAACTATTATGTAACAGTTAGTTTACCTATACTACCCCCACCTGTCCATGTAGTATTTGCAATTATCCTATTTTTACAGAAGAGAAAACTGAGACTCAGAGAATTCAGTCCTCCCTTACCTAAGATCTGAAGATATAAAAATTTAAAATTTTGTATAGCCAAGTATTATAAATAAAATATACAGGCAGAGCAAACCAGGAAACACAGTAGCAACATGTATGGCATATTATTATCAATGCATTAAAAATTAATACAATTTTAATACCACAAATAGAGAAACTGACAAAGGATCTGAAAAGGAAAATTGCATTAAAAAAAAGCTCGATGGGCAAGAAGCCTATGTAAGATCATTCATTTACTAGTGATAACAAATGCAAAGTAAAATCATGCAATACTATTCTTTTATCTAAACTAGCAGAGATGAGAAAAAAGCTAGAGCAAGCCTAGGTAAGGAGAAAATGGACCCTCTTCACATACTGCTGGGAGTGGTATAAAATTGGTACAAGATTTCAGGGCAACCAGATAATTTGTGATAAAAGTGTTAAAAACATGCATACCACATCACCCAGCTATTGCACTCATAAGAATTTCACCTATGGAAATAATAATGGTTAACAACTACAAGGATGTTCATAGTGACACCTCTAACATCAAAAAAGTGAGAAAAAAACAACCCTGGGGCGCCTGGGTGGCTCAGTCGTTAAGCATCTGCCCTCGGCTCAGGTCATGGTCCCATGGTCCTGGGATCCAGCCCCGAGTCAGGCTCCCACTCAGCGGGAGGCCTGCTTCTCCCTCTCCCACTCCCCCTGCTTGTGTTCCCTCTCTCGCTGTCTCTCTCTCTCTGTCAAATAAATAAATAAAATCTTAAAAAAAAATAAAACCCTAATGTCCCTCAATGGGGATTATGAAGTACATTTGAATACACTCACACAATGAAATAGTATGCAGTCTTCAAGTACAACTCTTCCCCCTAGTCCTGGAACTGCAGTTAAGGTCAAAGTTGACAGCTAGAAGTGCTTAGTACTCCCAAGTTTCTAAAGAGAACCACCAATGCGCCACCAATGGCTCGATCCAGACTCCTGCCCCCATGGCTAAATCATGAAGAGAACCAGCCCTATTCCAAATGCCTCCTCCTCCTCCACCATTCCCTACTCTCCACCACACCACAGTGTCTTTATGAAGAGGGAAGAAGGGGTCAGGAATCTTTATGTCTAGTATTTGTGGTAAGAGCCTTTTTCTTCTCTTCTTCCCCTTAGGATTTTTTCTTCAGGTTGACTTCTAGTTCCATAGTGTTGTGGTCAGAAAAGATGCATGGTATGACTTCAATCTTTGTGAATTTTTTGAGGCTTGTTTTGTGACCTAATACGTGCTCTCTTCTGGAGAATGTTTCATGTACACTTGAAAAGAATGTGTATCTGCTGTTTTAGGATGGAATGTCCTGAAAATATCTGTTAAATTCATCTGGTCCAGTGTGTCATTCGAAGCCATTGTTTCCTGGTTGATTTTCTGTTTAGATGATCTGTATTATCGATGTAAGTGCCTTCTCCTTAGGAAAGAAGAGGGTGACTTACCCTCCCCCAAAGACAAGTGATGGGAGGGAAAGGTTCTCTACACAAGTCACCTGGAAAGATTAGGGGAGCCTGAAAGAAGAAAAATCTGGCATTGTCCTTAGTTGGATGAGTAGGACCTTGGTAGACTGAGAAATCAGAAGGTGGGAGGTGGGGTGCTAAGCCAACATGAAGCAAGCCAGTTCTCACTAAAAACCCTCCAAATGCTTAGCACTACTACATATACTTGAAGTTACAGGTGAGGGGGCAGGCTGGAAATAAGAGCACTCTTGGAAAATAAGACAAAGACAGTTCTTTAGATGCCCTGCCTTTACCTGGACAGCAAGAGTCCTGTACACCTCCTCCACTCCAGCTGAAACTGATAAGTTTACCATCTGGGTCATTTTTAACAATGAAGAAAGTGGGAGAGACACCATACTCAAATCCTACATATTACAGTGAAACCAACAGTCCTTCCCTCTTCAGCATCCAGCCAAACTTCTACCGAAGGAAGTAGAAAGATTGAAGGAAACATTCTGGAGGAAACTGAATAGCCAAAAGAAAGACTTACAGATACTGACATTTGGGGGTTCTTCAATGGAAAACCTGACCTGCCACCTTATCTACCATCCTCCAATCAATAAAACCCTATCCATGCACACAGAACTTCTAATCAGCTTTTTAATGCCTCAGTCTTGTGAATGGGCAACCAAGTATTTC